CCAGGAAGGAAGTGGGGAGGGGGTGCAGGCACAGCATACATGCACATTATGGCAAACGAAGTGGGGAGGGGGTGCAGGCACAGCATACATGCACATTATGGCAAACGTACCTCTGAGTTTAACCACCTGCAGTGATTACAGCTCATCATGCTCAACTTCTATATTCGGCAATACTTCTTCCATAACTAGCGTCTTTCATCCTTGGCCTTGTCCTTGTGCAGCCATTAATGAGGCTACTGCTTCCTATGCTGGATAGAGTTGCATTAGCCTGGCATTTGATTTAACTATTCAGAATCATACAGATACTAAGAGTACACAACACAAGTACACATGCATAGCAGACAGTTAATCGTTTAGGTGCTTAAAGTGTTACTAAACCCACAACAGTAAAATCAGTCTGTATACGTATGCAGTAAAGCATGCTTGTTATACTCACTGTGGAACCTAAGGGGTTAACTCTCCACATTGTTTAAATAGGATGTTTGATCCTGTCTTCTCTAATCCTCCCCTTCTTCTACTGTCCCCAATCCATGTCCTGGAAGAACAGAGCCTTGGGGGCAAGCTGCACATGCTCAATTTAGTGTGTATGGCTAAAGAGTTTTTCTTTTTCCTTTGGGAGTGTGCATGTGATTAGCACAGGGCCAATCAGCACTGTCCAGAAAGAGGGCCAGGGGTTATGCAGCCTCCTATGACAATCAGGAGAGAATGAAAACTCCTTCTACAAGCTTGAACCAGTACTCGCCTGGACACTGAATTTATATGACTGCTATATACTGCTGATGAGAAAACGGAAAATTGTATCATACTTACAGTAATTTTCCTTTCCTGAAGCCAATCCATGGCAGCATACATGTGATATATCTCCACCCCTATATCCACCCACAGGACCTGTGTATATCTATAAAAGTCTGACTGAGAGCAACCTCCGCCATTCTCCATACAATCAATATCAAACAAGGGAGGGTTCGTATGCTGCCATGGATTGGCGTCAGGAAAGGAAAATTACGGTAAGTATGATACAATTTTCCGTTTTCCTGACACCAACATGGCAGCATACATGTGATAAATAACTAGCTAAACAGGGAGGGCTAAACTGTATAATCAAACTGCATTACAATGAACATGGAAGCCTAGAGTACCATTCTGTTGAAGTCCATTAGCGTATAAACCTCTGGATCTTCCCTGTAGCGCCTGAGGCAGGTGCAATGTGGTAACCAGTCTGCTGCTTTGCAAAAGTCTTCATAGACACTTTGCATGCGCTGCCCTGAATGTAGAGATCGACCTGGCTGAATAAGCCTCTACCATTTCTGGAGGCTCTTGCCTGGCTGCACTATGTTTTCAGGATGACCTTGACACTCCAAGATGAAAAGATTTACTGCAGCTTCCTCCTCTGAATTTGCCTGATGAAAACACGAACAGCCTCCCGGAGGATTTAAACAAGGAAGCAGCTTGAAGGCAAGAATCTTAGATACCTGGTACATCCAGCTTGTGTAGGTTAGGTACCATCTGTGCCAGAAAGGATGGAATCACCAATTTGTAAGATGAAAATTGAAGCCACCCGGGGACAAAGGTGCTCAAGTGGCATAGGCCCCAACTTGTTTAGAAGACAGAAGATGTAGGACTCTGTAGCTTGAAGCACTTGCAGGTCCAAAACTCTGCCCACACTGATGGTCCCTATCTGAGCACATGGAGGTCTTGGTTATGTGGCAGAAGGCTCATGTTGGAGCAAGGATGTCAGCACTGCGCAGAAAGTAAAATGAAAGACTAAGAGAAAGAAGCAACAGATCATAGACATGTGCCTGAATCATTTCCCTCCCCCTCTCATTCATCTGCAGCATAAGCAAGGGAAAAAGATGTTTCCAGTGCAAACTCACCTTGCACCTGCGTGAGCCTGGACATGCCTTAACAAAGATGGTCGCCACAAGAGGCCCTCTGCACAGTGTATGTGTGGATGCCATAGCCAGCCATGAGACCGGAAATGGCCACAAACCCCGGACCGGATCGTGTACACACGCTGGCCACAAGTGAAAGGAAAACTGCTGACAAAAGAAAACCCCTCAAATCACTCTCACAAAGGAAAAATGACAAAATCTAATGAAGGTAGAGGCAAGGGAGGAAGACAAAATGGGATAGCACTAACCTGTTGGAGAAAAGAAAAAGGCAGCACTAACTCCAGCACCATGATCCTGCTCAGGTGTGCAGAGAAACACATGCAGCATGGCCTGCAGCAAACAAACACCTGCTCAGGCATAACACATGAGGTTCTGACGTCTCTGGTTAGAGAACTCCTCAACCCCAAAAGACCACCAGAAGGGGCTCCCCACCTTGCTGATCCATTCAGCAACCTAAGATGCAGGAAAGCGCCTGGGACAGGCTGAACCCAGGCGGACTCCGACTCAGTTGCAGTTAGAGACTTATCGCAACATCATGGTCTTGCAGATGGAGATCTTAAGGACAAAAAGGAGAATGGGGGGAGGTTGCTCTCAGTCAGACTTTTATAGATATACACAGGTCCTGTGGGTGGATATAGGGGCGGAGATTTATCAAATGTATGCTGCCATGTTGGCATCAGGAAAAGGTATTTAGCAGTTTATATTTACTAAAATTATTGCATTTCCATGTTCTGTGTACTGGTTGAGACAAGATATAGTGAATGCAGGGTCCTAGGTTTAGTAATGCTTTAAAGGTGTTTTTCTGCAGCAGATACATTGAAGGCATTGGCAGAAGACACATATAAAGTTTCTATCCAATAGCAGTCACTTACTTCTGAAAACATCTTTTGAGAGAGATATATATATATATATATATATATATATATATACACAGTTGTGTTCAAAATAATAGCAGTGTGTTGAAAAAAAAAAGTGAATAAAGCTCAAAATCCTTCTAATAGCTTTTATTTCCATACACACAAATGCATTGGGAACACTACACATTCTATTCCAAATCAAAACATGAAGAAAAATATATCAAATTTGTGTTGTTCCTCTAAAAAAATTGAAGAATAGTGAATATTAGACTGTTCAAAAAAATAGCAGTGTTTGTATTCTTCTTTACAAACTCAAACATTCACTATATAAACTGAAAAATGTTTGAAGATTTTGCTTTCCTTTCAATCACTTAATTAATATTTAGTTGTATAAGCACTGTTTCTGAGAACTGCTGTACATCTGTGTTGCATGGAGTCAACCAACTTCTGGCACCTGTGGACAGCTATTCCAGCCCAGGATGATTGGACTACATTCCACAGTTCTTCTCTATTTCTTGGTTTTGCCTCAGAAACTGCATTTTTGATGTCACCCTACAAGTTTTCTATTGGATTAAGATCCGGGGATTGGGCTGGCCACTCCATAATGTCAATCTTGTTGGTCTGGAACCAAGATGTTGCACGTTTACTGGTGTGTTTGGGGTCGTTGTCTTCTTAGAACAAACATTTCAAGGGCATTTCCTCTTCAGCATAAGGTAGCATGACCTCTTCAAGTATTCTGATGTATTCACACTGATCCATGATCCCTGGTATGCGATAAATAGGCCCAACACCGTAGTATGAGAAACATGCCCATATCATGATGCTTGCGCAACCATGCTTCACTGTCTTCACAGTGTACTGTGGCTTGAATTCAGTGTTTGGGGGTCGTCTGACAAACTGTCTCCGGCCACTAGACCCAAAAAGAACAATCTTACTTTCATCAGTCCACAAAATGTTGCGTTATTTCTCTTTAGGCCAGTCAATGTGCTCTTTGGCAAATTGTAACCTCTTCAGCACATGTCTTTTTTTCAACAGTGGGACTTTGCGGGGGCTTCTTGCAGATAGCTTGGCTTCACATAGGTGCCTTCTAATTGTAGCAGTTCTCACAGGTAACTTTAGACCTTCTTTGATCTTCCTGGAGCTGATTGTTGGCTGAGTCCTTGCCATTTTGGCTATTCTTCTATCCATTTGAATGGTAGTTTTTCGCTTTCTTCCACGTCTTTCAGGTTTTGGTTGCCATTTTAAAGCATTTGCGATCATTTTAGCTGAGCAGCCTATCATTTTCTGCACTTCTTTATATGTTTTCCCCTCTCCAATCAACTTTTTAATCAAGGTATGCTGTTCTTCTGAACAATGTCTGGAACAACCCATTTTCCTCCGAATTTCAGAGAGAAAAACACTGTAACCAGCATGTACAACATTTGCTGCCTTCCTTCCTTAAATAAGGGCAATAATTGCCACCTGTTTTTCAAAGAATGAATGACCTTACTAATAGAACTCCACACTGCTATTATTTTGAACATGCCCCTTTCAATTAGTGATTCAATTACACAGAATCAGCAGCATGCATGTCATGACTGTTGGGTCTGTTGGAGTTTTATTACTCTACTACACCTGCTAGTAAATTAATTCCCATATAGAAAAATCATTTCTACCAAAACCAGTGATTGATCAGGTTAGTGATGTCTGACTGCTATTATTTTGAACACAACTGTATATACACACACACACACACTATATTGCCAAAAGTATTTTCGCATGCCATTACACGCACATGAACTTTAATGACATCCAAGTCTTAGTCCGTAGGGTTCAATATTGAGTTGATCCACCCTTTGCAGCTATAACAGCTTCACCTCTTCTGGGAAGGCTATCCACAAGGTTTAGGAGTGTGTCTATGGGAATGTTTGATCGTTCTTCCAGAATCGCATTTGTGAGGTCAGGAACTGGTGTCGGACGAGAAGGCCTGGCCCACAGTCTCCGCTCTAATTCATCCCAAAGGTGTTCTATCGGGTTGAGGTGCAGGCCACTCAAGTTCCTCCACCCCAAACTCGCTGATCCATGTCTTTATGGACCTTGCTTTGTGCACTGGTGCCCAGTCTTGTTGGAACAGGAACGGGCCATCCCCAAACTGTTCCCACAAAGTTGGGAGCATGAAATTGTCCAAAATGTCTTGGTATGCTGACAACTTAAGAGTTCCCTTCGCTGGAACTAAGGGGCCAAACCCAACCACTGAAAAACAATCCCACACCATAATCCCTCCTCCACCAAACTTTACACTTGGCACAATGCAGTCAGGCAAGTACCATTCTCCTGGCAACAGCCAAACCCAGACATGTCCATCGAATTGCCAGACAAAGAAGCATGATTCATCACTCCAAAGAACACCTCTCCACTGCTCTAGAGTCTAGTGGTGGTGTACTTTACACCCATGCATTCGATGCTTTGCTGTCAGGGCTCCCAGGTGTGACCAGAGATGTGTGACTGACGCAGGGAAACGCAGACCTCAGATATGTTATAAACAATATAATTTATTAACACTAACAATACAAACATAAACGCAGTGCAATACTAAACATAATACAGTGCAAACAAACCCAACCAAACCACCCACAGATAACAGTACATACAAGCAAGCGTCGTCAGGCAGGCCGGGTCAATATCAATAGGGCAGGTAGGTACAGGGGGAGCAAGCGGAGATTGGTCAGGGTCACAAGCCAGGGATCAGAACAGGTAGCAAGCAGCGTGGTACAGAGGGTCAGACAGAGGGATGGTCAGGAGCGAGCCGGGATCAGAGCAGGAGAAGTCAGCAGCGGTTCAGAAACAGGATGCAGGACAGAAACAGGATGCAGGACAGAAACAGGATGCAGGGCCCAGGACAAACACAACACCAAGGCAGAGTCTGCAAGTCTGGCCATCCCTTAAATACCCCAGCATAATCAGTTCCAGGTGTTAGCTGGCTGCAAAGTTGAGTCTCTGATTGCTGGGAGCACCCGCTGGCCAGCCCTGGTACTGCAGATCAAAAGGCAGGTGAGTCCCACCATTGCTGGCTAGTCCATTCCTGACATTTGCATTGCACTTGATGATGTAATGCTTGGATGCAGCTGCTCGGCCATGGAAACCCATTCCATGAAACTCTCTATGCACTGTTGTTCTGATAATCTGAAGGCCACATGAAGTTTGGAGGTCTTTAGCTATTGACTCTGCAGACAGTTGGCGACTTCTGCGCACTGTGCGCTTCAGCATGCGCTGACCCTGCTCTGTCATTTTATGTGGCCTACCACTTCATGACTGAGTTGCTCTTGTTCCCAGTTGCTTCACTTTGTTATAATACCACTAACAGTTGACCGTGAAATATTTAGCAGCAAGGAAATTTCATGGATGGACTTATTGCACAGGTGGCAACCTATCACAAGACCACACTTGAATTCACTGAGCTACTGAGAGTGACCTATGCAGGCCATAGATGGGTCGAAAATCGTCCGATTTTTCGGCTGAAAATAAAATTGCCCGATTTTCGGATCGTTAGTGGGCTAAATGTTCGGCCGTTTTTCAGTATTTTGGCAGATTTTTTTTATCGGTAAAGTTGGAAAAAAATCGGCCGATTTTCGCGGCAATGATGGGCAAATTGGCCGATCTTTTACCGATAAAAAAATCTGTGCATGAGCAGTGACCTGCAAGAGGAAGACAAAAAGAAGAAGAGGATGAAGAAGAAGAGGAAGAGGATGAAGAAGAAGAGGATGAAGGAGAAGGGGAAGAGAAGAAGAGGATAAAGAAGAAGAAGAGGATGGAGAAGAAGAGGATGAAGAAGAAGAGGAAGAAGAGGATGAAGAAGAAGAGGATGAAGAAGAAGAGGAGGAAGAAGAAGAGGATGATGAGGAAGAAGAAGAGGATGAAGAAGAAGAGGATGAAGAAGAGGATGAAGAAGAAGAGGATGAAGAAGAAGAGGATGAAGAAGAAGAGGATGAAGAAGAGGATGAAGAAGCTGAAGAAGAGGATGAAGAGGAAGAAGAAGAAGAGGAAGAAGAAGTAGAGGAAGAAGAAGAAGAGGATGCAGAAGAGGATGAAGAAGAGGAAGAAGAAGAAGAAGAAGTAGAGGAAGAAGAGGATGAAGAAGAAGAAGAGGAAGAAGAAGAAGATGAAGAAGAAGATGAAGAAGAAGAGAATGAAGAAGATGAAGAAGAGGATGAAGAAGAAGAGGAAAAAGAAGAAGAGGAAGAAAAAGAAGAAGAAGAGGATGAAGAAGAAGAGGATGAAAAAGAAGATGAAGAAGAAGAGGAAGATGAAGAAGAGGAAGAAGAAGAGGAAGAAGAAGAAGAAGAGGATGAAGAAGAAGAGGATGAAGAAGAAGAGGATGAAGAAGAAGAGGAAGATGAAGAAGAGGATGAAGAAGAAGAGGAAGGAGAAGAAGAGGATGAAGAAGAAGAAGAGGAAGAAGAAGAAGAGGATGAAGAAGAAGAAGAAGAGGATGAAGAAGAAGAAGAAGAAGAGGATGAAGAAGAAGAGGATTAAGAAGAAGAAGAGGAAGAAGAAGAAGAGGATGAAGAAGAAGAGGATGAAGAAGAAGAGGAATTCCAGTCCGGCAAAAAGTGTCCCTGCAGAGAGCTCCGCTATTTCTTTGACAGTTCCTTGACATTTATAGCAGTTGCAACAATGTATCTATTTGTTTCCGAATAAAAACATCTGTATCCTAAATGGATACAAATAGATACATTGTTGCAACCGCTATAAATGTCAAGGAACTGTCAAAGAAATAGCGGAGCTCTCTGCAGGGACACTTTTTTACGGCTGTAGACGGGATGAAAATCGGCCGATTTTTTTTACCGTTGCTGGTAACGTCGGCCACTTGAACGACCGATTTTTCGTTTTTTTAAGAAAAATCGGCCGATTTTCGACCCGTCTATGGCCTGCACTATTTTTTCACAAATGTTTGTAGAAGCAGTCTGCATGCCTAGGTGCTTGATTTTAGACACCTGTGGCCATGGAGGTGATTGGAACACCTGGATACAATGATTTGGACGGATGTCTCATCACTGTGGCAATATAGAGTATATATATATATATATATATATATATATATATATATATATATATACACAGTATATTTAGCAGCTGTGTCAATTTAGAGGAAATGTCATTGGAACAGGCATAGAGAAGAAAGAAATCCCCCAGTAAAGGTGCATGTCCCATTTACAACTGTCAAAGGTGAGATTTTGTGTGCCCTTTGAAGCAGGAAGGTGTGCAATAGTAGGGAACCTCACTAGTGGGGTCACAGACCTAAAAGGAGGTTCTAACCCTTTGTTGCTTTACCTGAAAGCATATAAAATAATTTTGTCTACAGTTCTACTTTGATAGCTGATGTAGACACAAACATGAGAAATATGTATTGTATTTCAATGCTGTTAAGAACCATCTTGGTTTTAAATAATTTAATTGAAACCAGTACGTTGCCCATGAATTAAAGAAAAGAAAAGAAAAAAAGATATCTGTATTTTTACTGACACCTTTTTTGAACATGAATAGATAGATTTTATATGAGTTGTATTAATGTGAAAATAGAGACATTGCATCACCATTAACCACATCATTACACATCCATTAACAAGGAGTAAACACCTTATATTACACATACTTATATACAAATCACATGTGCACACCCAGTACAAAACATACTTTAAAGAGCACACCCTGGTGTGATGAGCAGGCTTGTTACTGCAGTGCCATGGATAAAAAGTGCAGGAGAAATTGCTATAATTATGCCATAACAAAAGGTACTTTATTTTTAAAAATCTATGTCTTTAATAAAAAATTACAGTGGGCAATGACCAAGTCCTATTATTTGTTCTATAAATATCCAGAAAAGTGAGAGCTTTAACTGAACTAAGAGCACTTCTGTTGAAGTACAAGTACACATACACGTATAAAGAGCTTGATTTACTAATAGGCATGTGCATATGTTCACGCATTGATGCTGGGTTCACAAGCAAATAAAAATATTATTTGTCATCCCATGATGTACACAAATGCATGCACAAAGGCTATAGCAAATAAATTCAGAATTTATTAACAAGGATGATTTCCTATAGAATATACACTCCACTGTATAAATGTACAGCAGCTAAGCGCCTAAATAAAAATGTGATTTTCTCCAATATTTTGTAATCTAATTACTGTTAATATTTACAGTTTCAAAGGTTTTACTGTTAACATTTATAAATGGACAAACATAAAGTACAAAAGTGCACATGGTAATAGTTAAAGAAGACTGTAAAAAATATTCTCATTGACATATAGTGCTTTACAATTGCAAATCTTTGTGTGCATGCCGAGACATTCAAAGAACAGTCGGCTCATGAGATTCTGTACACTGGCACTTGGAAAACAGATTTCATTGATACATACTTACAAATACAGTACATACAGGTGATCTATGTGTTTTTTTTAACTTGGCACATTGCTAATTAATAACTTCAACTTTTTGTTTTCAAAATTTTTTTTTGCTCTGCATATTCTAAGGTGCACCTCAAAGAAACAGTAGACAATGCTTTTTGGATGTAAAACACACACAGCACCCCTCCATAAGCACTGAACATCAGTGAGTGGTCAGCTAGATAGGTTCATAAATGGCAACTATGTATGTGAGCAAACTCATCCCATTGTATGCTTGTGGTTTATTCCTACTTTTATTTATTTCTGTTTAATAAATCAGCCTCACTGTCGTTTTCTGGGTAAACCAATAATCCTTAAAAGGAAACTACTTCAAATGAAGGTACTATAATTATTATATAAATACAGCAGATGATATTAGTCAGCCTTGGGGACGTGGGACCTATTATAGTTGATGGTTATGTGGTCCTTCACGATACCACCTTGTGGAGCTCCACTTTAAATGTTACATTGTACAGCAAGTGATATGCTATTCAAAATGCTTAAGATTTAAACAATCAGCTCATACAAAAATTCTTGTTTTGTTTAACGGTTCATTCACCCTTGTGTGGAAATCTAGAGCAGAAAAAAGCAGATCAGATTGTTTTCTATGTGCCTAATTCTCACTTAAATACAGCCTTCGGGTGAACTGTGGTGCAGCATGGAAATCTGCAATAGGTCTGAATTTTTTCATCCTGCATCGCAGCCCACCTGCAGCTCCATTTCTCTTCCAATAATGTTTATTGAAAAAAAGTTTTTTCAAGACAGTGTGGCACAAAGTCCAACAAAATAAGTGTCAGGTAATCACTACATATACATCATTAGCCGACAAGACTGAATCCTTCCCCCCACTCCTCACTACCAACAGGCCAGTACCATGGAGATGATGACCATCATTAGCTGTGCCCTAAGGTGAAGGGTGATTCCTACTGATAATACAGAGAGGTCCCATCTATGCCTAGATAGAAGACATAGGGATTAAGTATCACAGAATATCCAACAGATACAAATTGTATGTAAAGAGACTAATGAGTGTGAAGGTAAAATAAACTATGACTACACAACCACATGAAGTTCCCTGTAACCAACCATAACCATGTTGGGTTAGGGAATAATTCAGGCTTGTAACAATACATTAATAGAAGGTCAGTAAAAAAGTCAGAATATAGGAAAAAGGTGGAATAAAATAGTAAAAGGAGCAAAGGAAGAAGAAAGATGAAGAATGAGACAGATCGCCCCGTTCCTGCCTACCGACCCCTAGGCCACTCCACCCACTAGGGAGATTGACAATACCTGATCCAGGGAATCCAAAATTTTTTGAATCGAGGCTGTTTGTCCTGGAGGATACTGACCAATTTTTCATTAATCATAATCCAGGAGATTTTGTGTTTGAGTATCGCAAGGTTGACCACAGGTGTTTTCCATGCTCATGCCACAGTGATTTTGGGTGCTGAAAAGATATAGAAGGCTAGGATTCAGAGATATTTGGGTAACTCGCTCGGCAGGTCAGAGAATAGCGCTGTCATGGCATTTTTGGGGATATTCAGCTCAGTTACTGAATAAAGTAGGTTAAATATTTTGGTCCAAAACCGTTGGACCTTTGGACATGTCCAGACAGTCCAGCAGATGTGGAACATAGTGCCTTCTTGCCCATACCCCCTGAAACATAATGGTGAGGCATCAAGATAGATCTTGGCTAACCGTTCTGGAACAAGATACCAATGGGACAACACTTTATGATTTGCCTCCACCAAGGAAGTATTGAGAATTTCCCTGTGCACCATAGTTGACCACTGAAACCAGACTTCATCCTCTATGGATTCCCCTAACTCCAATTCTCAAGTCACCTGGTAAGAGAGTTTGGGGCCTTGGTCTGCAAACAGGGAGTATAATTCTGAGATACTGCTGTACATGCCCGGGCTGCACAGACATGTATTCTCATATAGGGTTATGGTAGTAATGTCCCCCAGATCTAGACCCAAAGTCTTTAAAAAATGAGTGATTTGGCAAAAGCAGAAGGTCTCTGAAGGGGGCATTTGTAAAATCCCCCAGAAATAAGAAGGTTGTCTAATTTCCTTGTGGTCTATAAAGTGAGCTATTCTATAGAGACCCTTGTTGACCCACCATGCAAAATGTTAAGGGTTTTGTCCAGGAAAAAAGCAGGGGTTCCCAAAAAGGGGGGCCACTGGAGTATGTGGTGACTTCAAAGGGTATATTATTATTATTATACAGGATTTATATAGTGCCAACAGTTTGCTCAGCGCTTTACAATATAACGGAAAACAATACAGCAACAATACAGTTCAATACAAGAGGGATAGGAGGGCCCTGCTCCTTGGAGCTTACAATCTAGGATATCCTGCACAGTGTGTCCCAAAGGCTCAGGGAGTGAGAGAGGGAAAGACTAAGAATTACCTTAAGCTCCCGGGTGAATAACAATAATAGAAGGTCAGTGGGGAGTGGAGAGCTGGCTTGCACCTCCAGCCTGACCCAATCAAGTTTGTAAGCTGTAGGAAAAATTTGGTAAAGTTGAACCAACTGCACAGCTCTATAATAGTGGAGGAAGTGAGGGACTCCCAAACCCACCTCTATTTAGATACATACAGCGTAGAGCTACCCAGTGATGGCCCACTTGCTGTATTTGAACTGAATGTCAGAATATATAAGAGAGGATACAGGTGTTGCGTGCGCTGGCTCTGATAAGAGGCAAGTCCTTGAAACGCGTTAGCCTGTTGGAGGTCCAGGGTTCCCATTGTGGACAGTCACTTAGTGTGGAGTGGACAGTGCTTTTATGATGTGCCTTTGACATTATTGTCATTTGTGAGTATATTATGTATCCCCTTTTATCAATAAATGTTTTTTAAGGTAATGCACTAGGCCGGTGCACCCTCTGTTTGTTTTCTTTGCATTTAGTTGTGGGGGGAGGGCTGTCTTCCATGCTCCCCTGGCTTAGCACTATCTCACAGAGTGCCTTATCCATATCAGAGGCCTGAAAGGAAAATAGATCGCTTGCAGGGGAAGCAGGTGTATCTTGAGAATGATTAGTTGTCTCACCCATCCCTGCCAACTGAAAATCCTCCTGGGTCTGAAAGAGTGGCTGTAGTCTTATTTGTGGTGGGGCCTGCGCCATATTGTCGGCCTGAGCGTCTACTGCTATAACTCCCAGTTGCGGCTGTGAAGATGATTTCAGCCTGCCTTTGGCCATATACCGTGTCCAGAGGGTGGCAGAAGCTGAAACAAGCTATTGTGCGGGCTGGATCACTGTCTATCAGGGTCAGCGGGAGTGTGCCAGCGCTGAGGCTTCACACATCCGCCATCTTCAGCTGCATGCATGGCCCCCTGCAGCGCCATTTCTGTCTGCATTTCTATGCACCCCAGCTCAGGTGTCACACTATGATATTTAAATAAAGTTTAAAAAAGTAAACAGCACTTTAGTGCAAGGCACTGCCAACCAGAATGACAGTACCTGCGTGGGAAAAATGTGGCATCTTACCATGCAGGTAGTGTAAACCATCCCTAAGGA